CCAATATCCCTTTAAAACCCTAAAAAAAGCCACTCTTGACAGTCTGTGTTCTGTTATTACCCAATCTCTCCAAATCTTTTCATCTTTACATGGATAAACAACACCACACAGCTGTTGGCGTTTTAACTCAAATGCAGGCTCCTTCACAAATTTATCTACCTGTCCAAACAACTAGGTCCCACAGCTAAAGGCTGGCCACCTTCCCTAAGAAGCATTTTTGTCTCCCTTAATTGTCTGTTCATCTCATAATCTTCAAGATCTCCTTTTCCTCCCTCCTTGAGGAGTTATGGCTCCAGCGCACATTTCAGGATGATACTCACACCTCATTTTTTATCTCTTCCCTAATATGTTATCTCAAGGTAACATTTTTTTTATTTATACTGACCCTATATCTTTCCATTCTTTTCTCCAGCTCCAGCAATTTTTTAGTTAGTATGACTAATATTATTGCCCACAAAGAAACTTTCTCCAACTGTTGGATATGTTACCCTAATCTTACCTCTACTAGCTCATACAGCCCTTTTAGAAGCATACCTTCTTAACAATTTTTCTTTTTAGACATTTAACAATACCATCCCTGTCCTTTAAGCTATCGTCACAAATGCCCTCTTTAAAAATCCAATGGATCATCCACCTGCTGTGTATGACTCACTAATATGACTCAAAATGTTTTTAACTTCTCTGGCACTTCCATTGTATGTAGTGTTTCAGGCAGCACTCCATGCATAAATGATACACATATTGCAGCGTTAACATAAGGGAAGCCCTAGCCTCCCCTCCCACTGGACCTCCGCAGGTGAGGGACTCAAACCCAAAAGAGGGGTAAAACACCTAAACTGGAGTAATACAATGTACCAACCAAATTACTCGACATCCTGTATAGCTAAGGCCACTCACTGTTGTATTAACAGACAGTATGCTCCTGGTTTCAGATAGTTCCACATGGAGGCTTGGCAACTCTTTATAAAGTTTCATTGCTGTCTTCTCCCCTCCTCCAGCAAGCAAGCAATCACTCCACTCAAGACCACTGACTGGTCTCATCCTAGTTGTTTTGGGGTTTTTTTTGGTTGGTTTTTCCATGCTAGTTTTTAAATTGCATCCCATCCCTTCTCCAATCCTATTATATTCCTTCTTAAGCCCACATCCTGGACCCCCTATGTATAATAAGGCTATGTGGCATCCCTCAAAGCTTTCTCTCATTTCAGGAAGCAGTTATTGTCCCAGTACTAAACAACTGCCTTCAAAAAGGTGACTGCATCTAGGCTCTCTTGCCCATTCAAATCTCTAATCTCAATACACATGTACTAAGTTAACACAGCCACCTCACCAAAAGTGAGCCTTTAGGCTAGTCATTGCAGGTACTATGGCCACCATTTCAGTAGTGGCCCCTAGGTAGGCTTACCTTACCAGGAGGAATCTTCTCTACATGAAGATGCTATGTTACGTATTAAAGAACTATCCACTAATAACAGCCAATGCACCGTCTAGTCTTAGTTTTAGATTTTCTTCTGGCAGAACCAAGTGGGGCTATGTACAGTTATAAATTAAACTTGTTGTACATATATCAAGAATTCAGTCAGGGTTGAAACTAATATTAAAAGGTTATATGATCAAGCAGTTATAGCTAATTTTTTACTTACCAAAACTCACCTAGCTACTCCTTCTGATAAATCCCTTATTCTATTCCTAATTCTCACATTTGGCACATGTATTTTAAATAATAGAACTGAAGCCTTAACAAACTGGATCATAGGATAGTTCCTGTTAACTAGCTTTCAGTATCAACCAATTCCACCTGAGCCCCCTTCAATATAAGACCTCTTCCCTGAATTCACTGCGTTTCAGCAGGAAGCAGTTTTAAAAGATCTTTGTCCCTTTTCCCATTTCTTTAAGTTGGGAAAATACGGTTGAAATTAAAGCCAATTTTGCTAACCTTCTGATAATGTTGTTTTTATGTCTGACTCCAACACACCTACCAGCATTAGCAGTTACTGTATCAATCCATCTTATCCAGGGTCTTCCTCTCTTGTGCTGTCCCTACCCTACCAAGCATGATATCTTTCTCCAAGGATCAGTCCCTCCAAGTCACGTATGAGATGGAGCATCAAAATCCTAGCCTCCAAGGAGAAACTTGGTTTTACCCTCTCCAAGACTGACTTACTTGTTTTCTTAGTGGTGCTTGGTATGTTCAAAACTCTTCTCTGGCATCACAACTCAATTCTACCAACCTTAGTCCAGTTCTCTGATGCACAGCAAGTAACTGCAAAGAACATGGCACACCTTAATTTCAGTACTGTGGAGAGGTCCCTGAGAGCAGACTTTCCCAGTGAAATTCATCTTTTGATTTCTTGACTGCTGGTGCCAACAATGTTGATTGTGGAGCCAAGCAAGCTGTAATCGTTAACAACTGCAATCTCTTCTCCATTTATTATGATGCTGGCAATTGGCCTAGTGGTGAAAATCTTTGTTTTTTTGAGGTTGAGCTTCAATCCATATTGAAGACTACAGTCCTTGACCTTCTGCAGCAAGTGCTTCAGGTCCACCTCAGTTTCAGCAAGCAAGGTTGTGTCATCCCTGCATAACGTAGGTTGTTGATGAGTCCTCCTCCAATCATGATGCCACATTCCTTCTCATAAAGCTCAACCTCCCGAATGATCTGTTCTGCATATTATTGAAAAGGTAAGGAGACAGGATGCAATACCACAGGAAGATCCTAATGAGTCACAAAACATGGATCCAGACAGATCATAAACAGTGAAGAGGTGAATTCAGCAGACAAGACCCACAAATCTTGGATTTGGTGTGCAAGCAGTCAGGGATTCCTGACTGGAGTATCACTGGCTAAAATGGGAAACAAAAAGGGAGGCAACTGGGGTGGGGTAATATTTCCATAACACCTACATTACCTTCCCAGACAAGCCATTTTAGCTGTGCAAGTCAATGCTTTCTTAAAAAATGAAATATTTTAAAATATCTGGAGATACACAAGCAGGTGTTAAAAAAAAAAAGTAGAAATCTTGTGTCCATTACTGTTTGCTCCAAAAGTAACACCCTGTTGAACAGTATTTCACCTATGATAATGTCAATGGGACAGTTATGATAAACTAGCTCTGTCACTATACAGCATCAGCAGTCTGGAAAGTGAAAAGGCAAGATGCATTGAGAAACTCTGCTGTTAGGGACCTCTCAAAAGTGCTGAAGAGCGCAGATGTCAGTCTAAATACTAAGAAGCCCCTATTCCAGGCCATGGTCTCAAATGCAAGCAGAACATTGACTAAGGATGTAAGAAGAGTCATCAATGCCTTTGTGCTATGGTGCTGGAGAAGATTAACATTCAGTGGACTTCCCAGAGAACTAACTGTGTCTGACAAGGTACTTATATCTAGACGTTATAGAATACTCGAGGACCACAACAAGATAAAGGTAAACAACCCAACTGCAAAATGGGCACAGGATATGAACAGACACTTCACCAAAGAAGACATTCAGATAGTGAACAAATGCATGAAGAATGTTCAAAATCCCTAACTCTAAGAGAGATGCAAATTAAAACAACTGTGAGATATCATCTCACCCCAGTAAGAACAGCAAAATTTAACAGAGCAGCAAATTAAAAGTGGTGGCAAGGTTGCGGAGAAACTGGAACCCTTCCTTATTCACTGTTGGTGGGAGTGTAAAATGGTGCAACCACTATGGAAGGCAGTATGGAACTTTCTGAAAAAGTTGGAAATAGAAATACCATTTGACACAGCAATTCCACTACTGGGAATATACCCTAAAGAAACCATAACCGGCACCCAAGCAGATATATTCACACCCATGTTTATTGCCACTTTGTTCACAATAGCAAAGAGCCGGAAAAAACCCGAAGTGCCCATCAACAAACGAATAGAGAAGCTGTGGTATAGCCACACAATGGAATATTATGCAGCACCGAAAAAACAAAGAACTCATGAAATATTATACAAAATGGGTGACCATGGAGAACTTTATGCTGAGTGAAATATCCCAGTCACAAAAAGATAATGTATAATGTCACTGTTACGGAACAGGACTGATATGGGGTTGGGGGAAAACGAGAAAAGAGGGGATAAATAATGTACACGGCATTGAAACAGATGAGGGAGAGAACCGTATAAAAGGTACTACTGATTAGGTATATGATTAGGTTATTATTGGCATGACAAGAGTCCAGAATAAGAGTTGCATAGTAAAGTGGTCCACGGAGAAGGGAGGACTGTATAACAATGAAAGAACATTTCCCCCCCCCCCAAAGGAAAAAGCTAACTAGGGGGGCAGGAAGGACAGGGAGGAAAATAAGCAACACTGAACGAATGGAAATCCAAGTTCTTTATAAACTTTCATTAAAATTTAAAAAAAGAACAAATTGGAGAGTGAAGCCAAATTGCTCTTTGGAGGAGAAAAGGATTTTGAAGTTGTGTCTCACATACTTTGGACATGTTGTCAGGAGGGGCCAGTCCTTGAAGGAGGACATCATGTTTCCAAGGGGAGAGGATCGATCAGTCAGAAGACGACTAGATGAGCTGAACTTAACACTGTGACTCTGGAAAGGTCAGGTTTGTCAGAGACGGACAGGTTGGCTCCAGACAGGGCAGGATTCAGAGACACTGTTAATAAACAGTAGCTATGAGCTGTAGTTGACTTGGCAGCACCTAACAGTACCAAAAAAAGAGGATCTCGGGTGCTTTTGGAGCCACAGGCAGTCCCTCCAATCAAGAAACTTTTTAATGTTAAAACACTAAATTCAGATAGTAACAACAGGAGACCTGGGGGGTAAACGCGAGAACGAAAGGCACAATAAACAGCAACTTTCAGCTAGCCGCAACTTGAGCCTCACACTCACGCAGAGCTGCTTCCGCCGCACACAACGAAAGGCCAATAGAGACCAGAGGTCGCAACGCGGAACTCTCCGTGTGCGAGGGCGAAGCCGGAAGTGTTACGCGAACACCTACCCTACCCCACCCCTCACGGCCCCCAAGATGGATGACCCCCTCCGCCAGCTGCAGTCTTATCTGGAGCAAACGAAAGCAGGCAAGTCAGCGGCTTCGGCAACGCTGCTCAATCAGGCTCAAGAAGGGTCCGTGGCGGACAAGAGCAAAGCGGGGTTGTGGCTGGGGCGCGGCATCCTACGCTGGACATGGACACACAACCTCGCGAAGCCGGTGGCTCCGGGCTCCTCATGCTTGCCGAGCGTGACCCGCACACAGAGGCTGGCGGCGAGCGGCGCTTGTCTGGTACTGGCCGCACTCTGCTTCGGGCTGGCTGCGCTCTGTGTGCCCATACTGCTGCTGCGCGCCCATAAGTTCGCGCTGCTGTGGTCCCTGGGTTCAGCGCTGGCCCTGGCGGGCGGCGTGCTGCTCCGCGGTGGTCTCCCCTGCTCGCCCTCCCGGAGCGCGCTTGCGTACGCAGCTTCACTGGGCGCCACGCTATACGCGGCGCTCGGCCTGCGCAGCGAGGCGCTCACGGTGGCCGGAGCCTGCGCGCAGATGGCTGCGCTACTTGCACTGCTGCTTGGCCTGCTGCCGTGGGGCAGCAGCGCTGCGGTGCGCCTGGCCCTCGGGCGCTTGACACCGCGGGCCGGCCTTCCCGAACTGCCCATCTGAGGGGCCGGGAGAGACGCGGAGCCTCCGGCCAGGTCTACACCGAGGACAGCCGGATGCTGCGTGTTCAAGAGCAGTTCGGAAAACTTCGATTTCAGCGTTAACGCTCAGAAGATAACGATATTTGTTATCACTGAAGTTTGTTAATATGCCGTGAAATCGCTATTAAAAGTTACATTAACGTCTTGAACTCAGTTGAGAAAAAAATAACTTTGGTTTTAACTAGATGTTTTGGTGATTTTTCTCGGGTTTATTTTGCCTTTTGACCCACCTTTTGACCCAGTGCTCGATGGTAATGATGTAGCAATGATGTAGCTACGTAATAATCCTCTTTGCTCCCCCACCTTTCCTTCTATACCTTGTTACGTGCCAGTTGAGTGTTAACTCATTGCGACCCTATGAGTTCATGTTATGTGCCGTTGAGTGCTTGCGACTCAAAGCGATCCTATGTACAACAGCCCTAAACCGTGCTCAGTCTTGTGCCAATCTGTCTCCAACACACCCACCAGTCACTGAACCAGCCCACCTCATAGAGGGTCTTCCCTGCCTGCGCTGTCCCTTCACCCTCTCCAAGGACTGGTCCCTCCTTGCAACATGTTAAAAGTATGTCAGACGAAGCCTCAGACTCCTTGCCTCCAAGAAGCCTGGTTTAACCCTCTCTAGGATGAACCTGTTCGTTTTCTTAGCAGTCCCTGGTACATTCAATACTCTTCCAGCACCACAGCTCAAAGGCATCAATTCTCCTATCCTCCCTAGTCATTGTCAAACTTTCTGACGCATAACAACTGATTGCAAAGACCATGTCTTTTATCAGGTGCACCTTAGTCTCCAGAGTGACACCATTGCTCTTCAGTACTTTGGAGAGGTTCCTAACAGCAGACTTTCACATCGCAGTATGTCTTTTAATTTCCTGGCTGCTGGTGCCAAGAGTATTGATCATGGAGCCAAGCAAACTAAAGCTATGAACAATCTCAATCTCTTCACCATCCATCCTGATGCTGTCAACTGGCTCAGTGGTGAGAATCTGTCTTGATACTGAACCTCAATCCATACTGAATGCTGCAGTCCTTGAAGTGCAGCAAGCACTTCAGGTCCTCCTCAGTCTCAGCAAGCAAGGTTTTGTCATCTGCATAACGCAGTTAATTAATGCATCTTCCACCTGATGCCATACTTCTTATAGAGCCCAGCCTCCTGGATAATCTGTTCTGCATATAGGTTGAAAAGGTATGGACATAGGACACATATGACCCTATGGCGTAGCATATCTGAATTCTGTCTCAACTTTTACCATCCTCATCCTGACTGCTTGAGCCCACATCTGCAGGCACTGTGTCACTGGGGGTCTTCCTCTCTTTTCTCTGGCCTTTCCTAGCAACATGCCCAAAGTATGTAAGTCGAAGTGTCTCCATCCTTGCTTCCAAGGAACACACAGGCTCCACCTAGCCCAAGACAACTTTTCTTTGGAAGTCCTACTCAACAACGTTAAGGGGTCAGTTGCTACACACTGCCGTGGAATCGAACAGAAATCATAGTGATCCTGGAGAGCAGAGTAGAGCTGCCCTTAAGAGTTTCCGTGGCTATAAATCTCTCGTGGAACAGTTAGTAGGTGCAATGACTGTCCTTGGTTACCATTTGGATGCTTTGAGCAATATGAGCCAGAACTGTCACATGGAGTAGCTTTGAGTCCTCAGCAGGCCACAAAAGATTAAACTGGCCCATAGCTGACCCTCCAGCTAGTTTTCAGAGACAGTAAATCAAGGGATATTGCCCATCTTGCAGAGCAAGACTCAGATCCTAGTACCACTTAATTAGTCACTAGAATTTCAAAAAGCACTTAAGATGATTTTACTTTGGCTTATTTTTCAATTTGAGAAGTCATAATCACGATGTTTTATTAAAAAAAGGGAAATTATTTGAAATTAGAAAACCAAAGCAATGGACCAAAGGGAAATTTTCCTTTGGCCCCTCCTAATATGCCTAAAGAAGCACGATAATGCAGTAGCTAGTTAATGTAATGAGTAAGATCTACAAGGAATTGGGCAAGGAAGTCATGGAGGTAGTTTTGTTCCATAGAAGCTGTCACTTCTACAAGGTCTGGTATCCGTAATTTAAAGATAGGCTTTTAAAATTTTAGTTAACAGTTTGTAAACTAAGCTCAAATGCAGCAATTAGGATGTTTGTCCAGTTCATGACTAAATGACTTAGAAACTTACTGCTTATCTTACTGCCAGAAAGTATAGGTCCATTTGATGCAGAAGGTCAAGGACTGTAGTTTTCAATATGGATTTAAGCTCAACATTTTAAAAAAAAGATTCTCACCACTGGACCAATGGGTAGCACCATGATAGATGGAGAAGAGTATCAGATTAAATATTTCAGCTTGCTTGGTTCCACAGTCAACACTCTTAGTACCAGCAGTGAGGAAATCAAACGACAAATTGCATTAGGTAAATCTACAGTAAGGGACATCTCCAGAGCTCTGAAGAGCAACCATGTTAGTCTAGAGACTAAGGTGTGTCTGATCCAGGCCTTGGTCTTTGCAATTACTTGCTATGCATCAGAGAGCTAGACAATGGTTAAGGGTGATGGATAGAAAAAAAAATCAATGCCTTTGAGTTGTGCTGGAAAAGAATATGGAACATACCATGGACTGCCAAGAGAACAGTTCCATCTTGGTGAGGTTGAAACAAAGTTACTCCTTGGAGGAAAGGATTTTGTTTTTTTTGTTTGTTTTTTTTAATATTAATAAATTTTTATTTAATGAATGTTGCTTTGTCTTTTAATTCCATTGTCCATCAATATCACCACAGTTCCTCCAAAGCTTGTATAAGATTCATCTTCAAGAGAACCCTTGAACCACTACCCTTCCTTCAATATAGATTTCTGGAGGTCACCATATGGAGGAGAGGATTTTGAACCTGTCTTTTATACTTTGAGCATGTTGCAGAGAAGGAAAAGGGCATCATGCTTGACAGCTCAGGAGAGGAAAATCCTGGAAAAATGGACTGGCTCAGGATTAGGCAAGGTTGCTATGTGTTGCAGGCAACTGAGCGGCACAAAACAATAGGCCCAGTGCTGAATCCAGAAAATTTGTACATATTTTGTTGTTAGGTTTCCATGGAGTCAACTTCCTCTTCACAGTGACCCTGTGAACACACTGAAACTTTTTTTCCCCTGGCTCATCCTGTGATCCCTGCTATGCTCAAAGTCTGTTGCTTCAGTGACTGCGCCAAGCTCTCTTATCTGACCTTCCACTTTCCAAGCATGAGTATCTTGTTTCCCAAGGACTGGAACACCTACATCATTCCCAAAATAGAAGATGCAGTTTTGAAGCTTTGGTGGCACAGCCTGTAGCCTGTTGTGCTGTTAACCAAAGTCCAGGTGTCCTCAGTTCAAATCCACAACTGCTTCAGAGGGACAATAGTATGCTGTCTCCTCCCATTGAACTTCCAGCCTCAAAAACCAATGGAGGGTCACTATGAGCTGAAAGCAACTCTTTGGGAGTAGGTTGTGTATTAGTGAGGAAACTAAATGTTTTGAGACATTTTAAATTCTGAGCCAATGTGGTTCTCAACCTTAACTGCACATTACTTACTTGAGCCAAATCTCAATTAATTCAGATGGTCTCAAGCTAGGGGCTGGCATCCATATTTTTTTAAAGCTTCCTAGGCAAGTCCTTGTTAAGACTGAGAACCTCCATTCTGTTGTGCTGGTTTGTACAAGAAGGAAACTGATCTTTCCTGAACTACGTCCTGTGTTGCTTGTACAGATGTGTCAGAAGTCCATCCACACTAGAGACTTAGAGGCTAACTCATTCCACAGAGCTTTTCTGCATCTGTAAATAGCTTAGTCAATGCACAGTTTTAATGACTGATTTAATTTTTAACTATAAAACCTTGTGACTGCTCTAGTTGGGAGCTGGGAAAAAGGAAATACTTCAGTCTCCTAAGTAATATATGTTCTTCTAGAATGGCCATGATTTGCATAAATTAAGACTGCGTTTTTGTAGGTTGATGCTTTTTTTTTAAGCAAAAGAAAGAAACTGAGGTTTACTGACCCCGTTATTATCTTAGGAAACTGTTTATATATCCTTTGGGGAGTGGGGTTTAAATAGCTGATTAGTGCATTTCTTCTAATGGCCAGTCTTGTTTATCTTGTCCTTGAGTCTGTTTTGCCACATTCCTTTAGAGTCCATTTTTATTGACATATAGCTGCATTCCTTGAAGGTCGCTATTGTTATATTGCCACAGTCTTTGTCAAGACCAGTTTTGATTGATCTCCTTTGTCAATGTGTCCTTTGCCGTTCTGGGAGAGGTTTCACCCTGATTCATTAGGAGGGGGGTGAGGTTGATGCTATTTTTAAAATACAAGCTTTTAAAACAGTTTCTTAAAGAATGCAAGCATTATATATTTTGACACTGAGGTTTAAAAATGTCATGTCAATTCCATCATCCTTCATTGTCCAGCTCTCAGATACATAGATAGCGATAGGGAAAAAAAAAATCATGGCCTGCATCAGGCACACCTAAGTTCTCAAGCTGACATTATTGCTCCTCAGTAATGTGAAAAATCTCCCAGTAAAATACATCTTTTCAATTCCTGACTGTTGGTATTAAGTATGTTGACTGGATCCAAAGATGAAGATATTGACAGTTTGTATCTTTTCTCCATCTATGATTATGTTGCCTGTAGGTCCAGTACTGTGAATTCTTGTTTTCTTCATGTTGATATAATCCATATTGAAAGAATCCAATTGTAATTCTTCTACAGCAAAAAAAAAGATACTTCCCTGATTCTAAACCATGCAGTGTTCCTTTACTCTGTTCAAACACCATCGTAGGTATATGTAAGTTTTGTGTGATCACAAATAAGTTTTCTGAGATTCCTTTTCAGTGTTAGTCATGATTTGTTATGAGCCATTGGTACTACTTAAAAAAGAAAAATCATATTTAAACCCAAGAACCCAAAAAAGGGATCTAGGGACAATACTAACATTTAAGCTT